ACCATCTAAAAGTTATTATTTATTTATTATTAGTGATTTCCATAATGATAGCACTGAAAATGTACCTTCTTTGATAATTATATTCTTCACAATTTGAAGTGTTTRCATAACTTCCAGTTACTTAAAGTTTTATATTCCCAACATTTTATGTTTACCAGCACATAGTTAATACAATTCAAAATGGTGGACTTTTAGTAATAAGATTACATTTATACGTACGTCTGGTTGGGGAAGTAAAATTAACTCTTCCTGTAGATGATCTCATCCTAGAAGTTCCAAGACGATCCTGAAATAATTACAAAACTTATTTTTTTTAATGACCTCATTACTGATTTCATAACATGTAGTACATTAATAAATAAATAATTCTATTATCAATAAAGGTGTGAAGTCATTCAAGGAGCATCTATAGATAAACATGCCAGAAGACTCACGCAAGAACAGCTGTCAAATGTGTGAAAAGAACCCCCTTAAAGAACCGTGCACTCCAAGAGAGAAACAAAGTCTATGATTTTAATAAACGTTACTATGTTTATTAAAAAAGCATAATTGAAATTCTAAATGTTTTGGAAATCACTCTGTGAAATAGTTAAACAATATCTCAATTATTTACGAATAAAAATGCAAAAGACGTTCGAGAAAATAAGCGTTTTTCAATATAACGCCAAACGCTTCACAAAATTATACTTTATTGATAAAATAAACAAACATGATTGKGGACAATTCGGCGCAAAAAGTTGACATATTCCCTGAGGTGCGAGTGGCACGAATATTTGAAATCGATATCTTTGAGAGTTTTTACGCGCATATTCGCCAAAATCAACATATTACGACCAATAACAAAAACTCMCTTTTTAAAAATATTGGCTACGAGTTCCGTTGTCGAAACGTAATGTATGTTACTCCAACCGCCAATAATTTTCAAACAGAATTTCCGAAGTCAAACTTATTTGTAACTTTCACAATGCAGGAAATCTAGCAGAACTCACCCGAACTCGAGCCAAATTGCTCTCCGTTTCTTTGACAATGGACGAAAACTTGTCCTCCCAGCTCATCTTGAGTRTGCCACAAGTTGCAGTTACGAATTAAACCATGCTAAAACTAAAACTGACATTTGTAATCCAGCTTTTCAAAGGAAACAAAGCCTACAAAGCCTCCGAAAATTTCGAATTTCGCACATTCTGCGCAAAGGACGAGTACGCATCCTTCACTTCATCCGCTGGCCACAGCTTGCGGTCTCATACAAAGGCAGCCCGGTAACAACAACAACAAAAAAGAAGGAAAATTTCATTTTTTTATTTCCATTCAAATTGATTTCACTTCATAATTTATATCACATGTGGATTATAACCCATTTTTTTATAATTATTGATGTACAATTCTTATWTTAAAATATTCAGTTTAAATTTAAGACATTTTCTGAAATGTTGTCTTATAAAAAAAGTAAATAATCTATTATAAAAATTCACAAAAATCATCTATAATATATAGTCTGAGCTCACTGCATTTATTTCTGACAGGCATTTTTTACAATGAAGGAAGTACATATTTAGTGTATATTTCTGCAAGATCCATCCGTTGAAACGTCTTTTCCAACTCAAAAAATGACTCACATTCCTCAATAGCAAAACCAGAACACCTAAAAAAATAAAAAAATACATTATAATCACAATTCAGATATTTAGATGAGTTAGATTTCAAAATTAAGGAAACTTCTGTCACATGCTTATAATATTTTATTCTGAGGTTGCAAAACACTAGAAGAACTCCCAAACTTTCTCCCAGCAAACTTACTTCATCTTAAAATGTCTTTGCATCTGTACAACAAATGACATCATYTTTTCCTTACATGGTTTACCAGATGAGTCAACATCAATATTACACGATTTGAATCTCCTCAAAAACTCCCTTATGCTCTCTGTAAGGCCTTCGCATACAAGAATAATTAATTTATGCAAGAAAAACACGACAGTCTTTATATCCAAATCTTGAGTCCATGATGACAAAGTTTTGAGGTATTTCGTTCGGTTTCTCATGTGGTCTAGCTTCAGTATTACTAAATCATTTATGACTTCACACGGTGCTGACCTCTCTTCCTTCTCTTCAAGAGTATGTACTGCATTTTCTTGTAACCACAAAGTAAGGTCCAAAATCATGGGGTTTTGAGTTAAAGTTTGCGCGTAYGAAATCAAATCGTCTTTGAATTGACCTATATCTTTGTTTTTAAAATCTGTAGACGAAAGKGAAACCTTGGGRATAACTCYGGGGTAATCTTCTGAAAGGGTGACAGCCATTTTGATCTTTCGAGCTTCTGGGTTCGCTGAGGAACGCTTAATTTCAACATCTATGGTAAAATCCAGCGTCTTTGACTCCACAAATAGACCATTTTCGATATCAGATTGAAGTGCAAACTCTCCTTCTTCACAGAATATAGCTTGTAGCGCTTCCAATTCTTCTTGTATAAGCTCTATGTTATTTTTATCCGATAAAGCCATTGACATTTACAAGCTACGTGTCGAAAATCTTTAAATTCAATCAGGCGTTCCAATCGTTGTACGATAAACACTGGAAACAAACGACTGCTGACCGATACCGCTGGCTCATTATATTTTTTCAAAAAATGAAAATGTAATTTGTCGTGAAGTGATATTGCTGCTATTTATTGATCATATTTGCTTTCGACTTAAACTTCCAATGCTATGGGATCTAAAAGGTATTACTTGATTTTATAATYCTTGTTTTTATTGAATTTAGACTTTTTATTGTAAGAAAAAAGGGGACTTACTCTTGCTTGACAACAGCAGCCATATGTACAGTAAACATTCTCCACTTTCGTACCTCGATATCAAATTTTCAAATAAATTTTCTACGTTTGTGTGCTTTTAAGTTCTGATAAGACAGTATGGGAATTAGCTCTTGAAGAAAGAAATAGAGCTGAAGCAGAGGCAGCTAAACAAGGTAAAGTAAAGACTTTATATTTTGCACTGCATGCCGTCATGTAATTAAGTTAAACTTAGCTTACATGATTTTGTGTACAGCATTATCTGGAGATCAAGATATGGCATCACCACATGGCAGTGAATCAACTATCTTTATCACTGGTAGTAAAAATTGTGTAAGTACAGACTGGTAACTTCAGTGCCTCACTCCCTTATCATTAATTATTAAAGTTATAATATAATTATACAAATTATGAGCTGGAAAGCTGTTGGCTTCCTTTTTTAATTCCTCATATAGATAACCTGCAAATATTGTATATTGCAAATTAAAATCTCAATGCAGGACAAATCTAGATTAAATTACAGATTCATGATTTTCCATTGTACAATCAAGATTCTCTAATTATTTTGACGATATAGTTGTGTAAAAGTGTCGCTCATCATGCTAATTTTGTTTCATTTTTTCATCCAGGGGAAAACGTCAATGATTCTAAGATTTCTTGATAGGTTTGTATTAAGTGCATGTCTTGCCAGTACAGTATATTTCAATTTATGCTGTGGGTGCTGTTTTGTCTATTTGATTTCTAAGAATCTACATGTACATATTTAATTACATGAATGTTTTCATTTAAGTAGAATAATTTGAAAAAATCATATAACTTGTAGCTTGATAACTCTGTTTATATAGGCCATTTTGCATGCAAATTCTGTTTTATTTACAATTTARCAGGCACCATTTATAGCCCTCTGAAGCTTTTAYGTCATGTAYCCTATACAGAATGCATTGYACTCTGCGAACAGAACTACTTTTCTCCCCCGCCGAGAAGCGAGAKGGAGAAAAGTAGCTCTGTTTGCAGAGTAAATGCATTRTAGAATATGTTTGGGACAGAACATGGCCGATTTCTTTTGTTTTCTCTAGAAAYKGATTMCACAATRCATTCCAAATCAAGAAGTGACAGAAGTCTATAATATTCATAATAACCAGTAAATAATCTTTTTAATATTCAGAGATGAAGCTCCCAAACCAACCACAGCATTGGGTTACACATTTGGTAGAAAAGCTAGAGGTCACAACATTGTAAGTGTAATAGTCTATAGCATTTTAAGGTACATGTACAGTAGTATTACTTACAAGAGTCACATTGTCTTTTAGGCCAAAGACATTGGCCACATATGGGAACTTGGTGGTGGGGCATTCTTATCCAAGCTGGTTGATATCCCAATCACTATTGAATCCATAAGGTGAGATAAGAAAATATTCTGTATTAATAATAATACTCTGCCATCATCATTATCATCATCACGGCATTACTCGTTTGATTAGAACCCAGGCCCTTATTTTTCTCAGTCATTGCTCTCAGGCAAAAACACGTCACAAAATACACCTTTTCAGTTGCTCTTAGGCCTCAACAGCACGTTAAATATTCTTTTAAATTTTGTAGGAATGTGAAAAATGCACACATTGATATGAATACATGTAGTCTCATTTTTCAAATTCAACTTGCTATCGAGGCCTAAGGGCAACTCGAAAGGTGTATTGAGTGATTATTAAGTTAACCTGGTTTTTTTTTATTGATTGAAGTTGTTAAAATATAGCCTTGTTAAT